ACTGTCCAGGAAGGACTGCCTCAGCCTGCAGAAGGCCAAAACAGGGGCTGTCCCTCAAACATACTACAAGTCTCCTGAGGCTTAAAGGCCACAGTTGTCTTTAAATTGAAAGGTTTCTGTTAAAGGGGAATGGGAAAGAAGAACGGTTTGCCAAGTCCCTAGGTTCCTTTAAGGAACCCACTGCTTCCCCCTTTTTGAACACTCCTAACCTCTGGGTAAACTAAGCTTTTGTCCAAAATGTACAAGGATTACATTTTGATAAAGAATTATCCATTGGGACAACAGCTTTTACCATTAGAGAAAAATTATCTTCCTCTGAGACTGAAATGTTCAGAACAACATGTCCACTAAAAACCTTCCCCAAAGTCTAATTTTTTTCGTTGTTGTTGTTCATGGACCCACACGAATCCACTTAAACTCTCTAAATTGGTGACCTGCATGTCTTCCATTGCACCTCTATTCACAATTGGGAGTCACCCTTTTTGTTATTCTTCACCGTCTGTCACTTGAACTGCTAGACTGGAATCATCCTGCAGAAGCTCTCTCGTTGGTCATCCTTTCCTCTTATGTTCTCTAGTGCAGTCAGGGTAGTGTTAAGGAGTTTGACTCTTACCTATAGGCACTTAATATTTTGCTCTGTCAGGCAGGATTTCCAAACTTTCCTACCATTGTTGCCACTGAGTCAGTTGTGCTGCTGTTTCTAGTGCTGGGAGTGGAGCACTCTGGGCTTTCCTACTGTTTTATACTCCAGTCCTTCCCAAAGCAGCCTTACCACATACATTTTCCACCCTGGGCATCCTCACTTATGGCAGAACTGAACCAGAAGTAGCAGTAGGATAAAATTTTTGTGGGGAAAACATTGGTACAGTCACAGGCTGCATTTGGGATAGCCACAAATGAATGGTACTGTACAAAAATACATGTAGTGTGGGGCTGTAAATATCCCACCCTTTTTGTTTCTTTCTAAAGAGAGAACAGCTATGTCCCCACATGGAGAAGGTAAGTACTGCATCTTTAAGGTCTCAGCAGTGAGGTAGAAGAGAGGAACATATTGTCAGTGTTTATACCTTTCTTCTTTGTTGAATTTGGGATTGGCTTCAGAGATATCCAGGCTTTTACTGAACATTGTTTTACTATGGCAGGAACAAAGCGAGAAAACAGAGTTACTAGTTTGGACATTTATAAAAGAGAGTCACCTGAAGCAATGCTGGACACCCAGTCCCCCAACCCATCCTCCCCTTTTTAAGCAATGCTCTGAAAAACCTTTCTTTCACTTTCCAACTATGGCTCAAGCCTACACAGTGATGAAGTTCATTATCTCCCTCTGACTTCTGAGGTCTAAGATGACTTCCCCCATACATACTTGTAAACTCTGCTCTCCTTTATCCAATTGAAAACCCAGGTACCATCTACTTTGTCACATTGTCCAGGGAAAATAGAACATGCCTGAAGGCACAAATCGCAAAGCGCTCATTACTCAGACTTTTCTAGAAGACCTCAACACTAAGCACAAACTGGGAAAAGGTTAAAATCAGACTACAGAGACTCTTAGAGGAACAGTAATCCATTCTGTATTCTATTTCGTAGGGTCCATTACCACTTACTCCCAACTCTCTTCCCTATACTCAGTGTACAGAGAAATGCCCTTCTTTATCGCCTTGGGTCTAAATCCCTGAAGCTTAGAAGCAAAATTCCCTATGCTTTGCTAAAAGGGCGGCTCTCTGCAATATGTTTCACTGGTAACATTCTTCACTGTTTCACAGAACACTGCTTCCTAATGCTAGCTGATCTTTCATGCAAGCTATCCACTTCAATAACCAGAAGAAAATGAATAGTTAATGAAGCCCATTTTAGAACAGTTTTTGGACTCTCACAGCAAAGCTGCTGAAAATTTCTGGCATATCCCCGAGGGATTCTAGGTCCCATGGAATTCTCCACGGAGTCTGTGTGATTTTGGCACAAAGGACAAATTAGCTGGTGTTAAACTAAGCTCAGAACCCACCTCTTTTCTTTTGACATTTCAATGAAATACCAGATAGTCTGAGAGGTGTGGATACCACAACGGCAGAAGCAATTAAGATGTAATTATGAACCCGTTTAGTTGACAACTAGCAGGAAAAACTAAGAATGAACAAAACTTTGTCACCAGTTTTAGGGTGGCTGGTGTTTGTGCATACTAACTTTGCCTTATACAAAGATCCAATGGAGAACACCTGGAGAGGTCAGCACAAGCATTTCAAGGAGTCTGTAAGCTCAACAAGCAGTCTTTGTGCTGAGTTCTCCTCCTCGGTTATCCAAAACTAAGTCACTGAAGGACTATGTTTTTCATTTAATACCTTCTCAGCCTGTAGGTTTGAAGGCTGCCAAGTTTCAAATCTCAGTGGAAAGATATGCCCTTAAACGAGCCAAGACCAGACACTTGTAGGGTCCCCACACGGTTATCAAAAGTGCAGTTCATCATGCAGACACATAAACCAGACGTTATAACATAAATCCCCTTTATGCAAGCAAACATCTGTTTACTACTGGGAAAGAGGACAATAGGACTAAATCACAAGACACATGGGTGTGTTCTGCCCACTGGTTAGCAGAGTATCTCTGCCAGTTCAAGAAAGAAGCAGTGGCTCTGTGTCTCTGGATGTTTACAGGAGTCATCTGTGTTTAAACAGGAGACCTGTTTCCATGGCCCACCTCCCTCTCTTCCTACTGTGGGACAAAAGCACTGAATAGTCATCTGTTGAGACCAACAAATGTAATGCTTAAAAAAGCATCCACCTCTGGGATCTAAGCTCTGCTGCTGTAAAATCCACTGTCAGTGGGTCATTTCATGGAATATAATATGTGACTAGCCATTAAAAATCCCCCATTCTTGGTGGAAGGTACTTGTCATTTTGTTACTGACTGTTCTGACAGATGGTGCCCCATCAGCAATGCATCGTCCCCAGACAATCCCCATGCAGTGGTGTTAGTTAATGAAGCCACCGGTTCACGTTATAAACGACTGCACTGCCAGCAACACAAAATGTGCCATTGTCATCTGTGAATGTGGATGGTATGAATTATGGAAGCTCACACATGGAGTAAAATAACATCGTCTCTTTAACCCCTTCCAAAACAAGCACTACTAAGTCCATCATCATCAATCATGTGTTATTACATCCCTTTCTCCACCCTTAATCACACCTTTATGTCCAGCCCTGAGTTGTGCTGTGCATTGCCCTGTATCTCTTTTGTGCTTGGCAGGTTTTACGTTCTCTGTAAGCCAAAGCTCTTCTTTACTGATATGTAGCCTGGATTTGTCTCTGCTCTGAACTCATCTCAGACCTTTTCACTTCAATTGTTTCCTCGTGTTCAGAATTGAGTGAGACATTTAAAAGCAAAAGGAATAATTTAGATAGCAAGACACAGCTTTGCCTCTTCAGACTTTTGAATCCAAAGCCAAAGCTGAGAGCTGGAAGAGAAGGTTTCAGCTCTCCGAAAACTCTGAGATCAATCTAACACCTCCTGGTTGTTCCACCCAGTGGGACACTTACTGTAAACAGCTGCAGAGTACTGCAACTCACAGGCAGCCTTGGGGTGCAGGCAAGTGATGCATCTCCATCTGGCTCTGGGAGCTTCATGCATCTAACAGGTACCAGATCAAACACCGCAAGCTGAATAAGGAGTGCGCAAGGGCTTGTCAGTGTTGTGTTCATCCTTACCACTCTGAGGCCTATGGGGAACACTGAGCACACCCTGTCCTGAACACCTCCTTCGCCCAGACCTCACATCAAAGCAAAACACATATTCAGGACAGGTTTCCAATCTACACTACAACGAAACATCTTTATGGCAGTGTATGTCAAAGCCACATATCCACTCTGAAACAGTAAGTCCTAGAAGATTCTGTAAATCTTCACTTTTTCCTCACTGTAGATAGAACTGTAACAGTTGCCAGCAAAACTCTCCAGCAATTCTAAAGGTCTCTGGTCATGAAATTATTTCATGTTTTTCACCCAGTTCTCAGACATCAAAGGGAGTTTCTGGGCACAGCAGGCTCTTTGTGAGCAGCTCTTAACAGCTGAACAAAGAACTCATGTCATAAAGCTGAAACAAAAGTTACAGCATCATCAGCATACATACATGTGAAGTGTTCTTTTATCTTGATTGATTTATGGAAGTGTGAATCCAAATGCATGTGCTTCCCTTAGGCTAGTCATAGGGACTGAGGAAGCAACTTCCATAGTTCACATAAGTGAACTTCCACAGTTCACTTACTCTCTTAGAACCTGCCCTGAGGAGACACCATTTTCCTCTGCTGTTTCTCCACAAGACTGACACTTTCTTTGATAGAAAAGAGGCAAAATTACACATATTCCATCACTTTACAGGCATGTGGTAATTTATGTGGGTCAGACGCATGCTGCCTCTGACAGCACGTTTTAGAGGTATCTACAGATGCCTGGACAGGGCTTTTCAGATTCAAGCTTCTTCTGATGACATGGAGGGTGGGGTTCATCTCGTTTCACTTCAGGTGCCCAAAAGCTACACACCTAATCCAAGATAGTAATCTAGCTTCCTGTGTTAGGCTACGGAGACAGAGAGGAACAACCAGAGGGCAATTTATCTGTCCAAGACTGTTTGAACAGAGGACATATGTATCTGTGACCTTCCAAAGCCCTCATCTGTCCCCATTGCCTAGAGTGACAGCCTGAATCACAAGCTTAGACTGAACGCCTATGTTCTCAACAATTAAAAAGAGGTGAGATGGATCTTGCCCAGAGGACGTGGTGGTTTCCTGAGCAATAGCTGCAAGTGAACAGAACCCTTAAGGTCCTGGCAGGACTTCTGGTCCTGTGTGTGTAAGTGCTGCTGGCTGCCAGATCGTGTTGCAAATGTGCTTGGAAGTTGTAATGAGTGCTGGTGCGAACAGAAAAGCTCCACAGCTTCTTTGTATGTATAACACAAAAGCGGGTAGCAAACCCAGACAGGCAAGGCTCCTGGGTAAAGGAGAGACCCACCTCTGTCCATGTTGTGCCATTTCAATAGCTCTGCGAGCAGGGACTGGGGAGCCACCATCTGTCACACTGAGAACCTCCATCGACTTCCTTTCTGGCCGCCGCTTCCCATGCCTGTTCAGCATTGGGGAGTCCACACGCTTCCTGGGGGGATCTTTATGAAAAGAAAACACGGTCAGCTGAATTCGGCTGTGACTTACCTCAGACAGGTGAGTTACATCCTCTTTTAACAATCTCACTCTCACACCTCCCTACAGAGACAGATACCTTCACGATGGAGATGCACACTTGCAGTCTCTCCCTTCTTCCGAATTTACAAACATTAAGACATAAGCTGCAATCCATCTACAGAGAGAAGGAGCGCTGCTACTGCCCTGAACAGATGAGTCTTGTAAAATAAAGGTACAGCTATAGTACAGCTGCAGAAATTACCTTACAAAGCTGATAACAGTAATAACAAGATGACAGCATGGGCTATATCACAAGCTGTTAGCCAGAGTATAAGCCATCTAGGGATCCTGTGCATGTACTCAGGTTGCTAAAGCTTGCCTTCGATGTCCCTGCTAGCTAGATTAAATGTGACACAGGGACATGAGTACACTCCAAAATCAGAATTGCATTCTCCTCTGAAAACATACCCTTTTTTTTGCATCTTTAAGATTGGATTTCAGATTTTCCCCACTGCTTTATATTTTTCCTCCTTCAGTATTACAAATTAAACATCCTTGCCTACCTGAGAAGATCTCTAATGAGAGCTGCTAAAATTTATTTGAGGTCATCATACAGCTTTTACTGTTATAGTAACCGAAGTGCTTTACACTTTTTATTGTGCAACATTTCTATGAGGTACTGAAGTGCTACTTTGATTTTGCAGAGTGAAAACTGAGGTATAAGAATGAGATACATAAAGGCAATTAATTCCTAAAGGTGCTGATAAACATTTACTGAGGTTCTGAGGAGCACCTAAATTGCTCTGGAAAGAGTCCTTAGATACCAAACTGCATTGCAGAAGGTGACTTGCCCAACCATATACACCTCGACGGTGAAGCAGGGAACCAAACACGGACCTCCTGAGATGTTTTATTAGTAACATCTCTCCTGGCATCAAAACAGTAAAGAGGAGGAAGGCAGAAAAAAAAAATACAGAAGGATTTTCTTTTCTTTGGTTGGGCTATTTCAGATCCCTGCTTCTATTTATAGACACATTTTTAATTTTAGTGGAGAGTGACCACCTGTAAAAAAAGGCATCCTTCACCCCTGCAGTTAGAAAGAAACTTACAGCGCCTGGCCCCTAAGCTTTCTTTCTCTGCCAGGAGTCCTTTGTAAAACCAGAAATACCACATTTGACAACTCTATCTCTACTGCCTAGTCTGATGGCATTGTTTATTCTCTTGCCCTCCTCACACTCTCCATCTACTTGCTTGTTTCTTCTCCCTCTCGCGTCATGTTTTTTAGAACCAGATCCCTTGAAGGCAGGCCTTATTCTTGAAACAAGGAGCATGAGCGAAGACAGCTCAAATGCAAATGGACTAGTGATCACGAATGACTGTTGTATTACTGTATAACGCAAACATTCTTTGTATTGCTAGTAATAATGTTCCTCTGAAAAACTAACTAGAATTAAAAAGCAGTTTTATCTCACTCCATTTCAAACTACGTCCAGTAATAAAAAGGCAGTAGAAAATACTAGTAGGGGCAATGACCTCCAGATTAGGAAAAAAATATCGTGCATAAAGTTAAGGGAAAAACAAAGGGAGATAAACCTAATAAAGCAGTTATACTGTGTGACTTCAGCTGCACATGTGTAAGTGGTCAAAAGTAAGCTGGGAAAAGGTTCAGACATTTCAAACTTCTGCTTCTTCAAAGAAGTTCAAAGAATGAGAAAGGATTCATCCCACAGAACAACTGCTGGTATCAGAAGTGTGACTAAAGCCGAGTAACACACAAAATGACAATGTAATTAAGTCTGGAATCAACAACAGAGAGTTGATACAAGTTTGAAGAGGAATATCAGACATCAGAAAGGAAGGTGGATGACTGCAGTTTAAAAGAAAGGAAAAAGAAGGAAGAAGGAAGATGAAGAAAGCAGCTAATGTCAAAAGAATGGAGATGAGTAGGCACAGACTGCATCAATGTTAGTTAATAATAGAGTCTAAACAAGAAAGATGGAAAAAGGCAGGAAAAACATTTTATGAACGATATTTTAAAAGGCAATTTGATCCAAGCATGTTCAAAACAGACAACTTCAGCAAATGGAAATTCAGCTGAGTGACGCTTACAAAAGTGACAGGCCAAATATAAGGTAGACATTAAAAGACAGCGAAGAAGAAATTTGAAGATGGATTAGCTAAAGACTTGTATAACAGTGTTTTGTATACCTATCAGAAAGAGAAAGCTTGAGAGAAGGACAGTAGCCAGAGGGATCATGAGGGAACGAACAGAACAATTAAGGAGGAGAAGGATATCGCTAACAAGTTAAATGGTTCTTTTATATCAGTCCTTGCTGCTCAAGATGATGGAACATATTGATTTCCAATCTGTATTTTAAACCATCAAAGAGAGAGACTAAGCAAAAAGAGCAGGTGGTGAAACATATATGCAACATATATATGCATATATAAATGCAACATCAGCAATTCACAAAAGCTTGATAGAAAACACATCCAGAAGCTTGCATGAATGTGGCTGAGCTTCTAATAAAGGTATGTGATTCCTCTTCAAAATCGGCTACAATCCGACACTATACATGGCTGAGGGTAGCAAGTATTGTATGTATTTTTTAAAAGGGTCTGAGTAAGAAATGACAGGGCATCGAGTTTGTCACCACTGTCCAGTCTACAGATAGTAAAGAAATAGTTAAATACACAGCCGTCCTGCCATAAAGAATAAAGTGTTGTCATTTAAAAGCAGTAGAGATTTTGCAGAAGCACAGGAATTAAAAATAGGAAAACCTCCAGTGTTTGTCCTTCTTTTCTTGACTCTCCGGAAATCACGGAATCATAGAATGGTTTGAATTGGAAGGGAGCTTAAAGATTATCTAGTTCCAACCCCTCTGCTGCGGGCAAGGACTCCTTCCACTGGATCAGGTTGCTCAATGCCTCATCCAACCTGGTGAAATCAAGTCCTAGTCTGGATCTGTGATAGTTCTGAGGATGCATTTTCCTTTTATTTCACAGCATAAAAGTGAAGCCATTCCTAAGGATTTTTACAGAGGAAGAGAGAATTGTACAGGTAATGATCCAATCAACTGGAAGGTGGGAATTAAAGGTTCAACTTCTGAGTTTGGATGAGGCACCTATATCCTATATGGCTATTCTGGCCCAAACTCTTGCTCTCTGGTTTATTAAGAAACTCCACCCCACAAAAGCCTTTTCCTCAAGGAGAAATTAGTTAACATTCATTCATTTTACTGAGAAGTTTGTAATTTCTGTGTTTTCAGGTAAAGAAAATGGCGCTGGACTCGAAAAGATGGTGAAGGTGGCCCTTTGAGAAGGCCTCGTATAGCTGAAACAGACAAAAGGGACACCAGAAGAGAGTGTCAGCCTAAGCTGGCCCTATTTTTATCTGCATCCATTCTTTCTGAGACCTAACATGCAAAGAAAGAGGAAAAAGTAAAATACTCTGAGATGCACTTTCTTTTTTTTTTTTTTTTGGCGAGAGCTCAGGCAATGAACAACTCATGAATGTGGTTTCTTCAAGCTGCTGTTATTAAATCTGTTACTTTTTCTCTGCTCTTCTTTATTTGTGCAAGGCTAATGGCTAATGACGAGATATTCATCAGAAGCATGACTGCTCTTAATTAAACCTTGCCCCATGTTCTCAGAGCTACTGCTGGGAAGAGAGGAGGGGAAATCTCCTGTGGAAGAGGAAATACAACCTACAGACGCTCAAAGAATAATGCTCAAAAGAGTCTAAAACGTGCTGACGAGACACAATGATACATTCAGAGTAGTGTTTCTCTGTTGGGGAACGTTTCCACCCCTTGTACAAAAAAACCACAAGAGTGGAGCATAGTATTTCAGTTCAAACCATGAAAATATTTTGGCATGTGGAAGAGAGATTTATGATGTATTTAGGGCATAGCCATGTATTCACTTACATACTGGATATGAAGATTCTAGAGTCACCTTGCTTCTTTTCTTATGACAAGAGCATTTCTAAAACAAGATGATGGTGTCATTACATGGCATGATAATGTTTGAGTCAAAAGCTGATTAGTAAAGTGCTAGATGACAAACTGCACTGTATGAGGGGCTTTTGACCACAAGACCTGCAGTTGGCACATCTACCCATCTTCATCAGGTTCCCTGCTAACATGGTCTCTGTAGCTCCATCCAGGTAAGAGTTCAAAAACTACTGTGTTGACTAAGAATTTCCATCTCTTCTCCCATAGAAGAGATTTCTCTGCAAAATTATAGGGCCTGGAGCCTGGAACTTGGATAAGGTAATAATTCAACGGAGTATTAACAAACTTATAGTTCAATATACCACTGCCCTGTAGGCTTGAGAGATTCCAGGCTTTCCAGTTAAAATAATGAGCACTTTGCTTCTAGCCTTCAAAGTGCTGAAATATAATACCTGAAAATCACAACACTACTATGTAAAAATGCTATTTCAGGTCATTGATAGAAGTGACTAATCCTTTATTATTATCAATCCTTACTTTCATCACTCTGCACAGCAAGAGTCACTTATATAGTTAGCTCCTCTGGAAAGCATTTTTCCTCTTGTCTAAATTAGTGTAGCCCTTGGCGATCAGCAATACCTTAAAATACTAAGGAAAAATTCTTCAGGAATAAAGTCGTATCACAAGAACTTTATAAGATATATTCTCTTACTGCACATAAAGCTTTTAAAGATATCTTTCTAAGATATTCTAAACACATGAGAGTTTGATGTAGGTACTATAAACAGATAAGTGTTATTATTCATACTTTCCACAGTGTACATATTTACCTGCAGATAAGAGAATGTGTACATATATAACTCCATAGGGTTGCAATGCTACACAGTCTTAGTAGCTCAAGTCCAGGAGCAGCATTTCTGCAATACTGCATGTAGATTAGTAATCAGAAAATTCTGCCACTGCTTCTAAACATCATCTGCTTGCGCAGAGCCAGCTAGTGGGTCCACATGATATACATGATATTTTTTAAGATCTGGTTCAAGATCAACTTGAATGTTTCTGCACTGTGAAACAGACATGTCCTGAAAAATGAAGCTGCTGAGTTCAACCACAGAACAGACCTGCATACCTCAGGCTGAGGATTCTCACCAATGCTGTACACCGTTTCAGTGGGAAGGGAACAGTGATGCTAGGGTTTGGGTATATATTAAAAAAAAAAAAAAAGGCAACAAGGAATTAGTTGAGATGGGTTCATGGTGACAGAGGTCATATGTGTAGTACCTATTTCATTTCTAGGGGGAAGATCCTCATCTTCATGACTAGGATACCTCTCCTTCCGGTCAAGCAGAAGAAAATAAATCATTTTCTCTTGGTTTTCTCTGAAAAAAAGAAAAAAAAATCTTTAAATTTGAAGAGAAAAAAACATCAACATGTAGATAAATCCTTCTCATCAAACCAACAGTCACAGTTATTCTAAATAAGCTGGAAATGGTCATCTACCTGCCAGCTAGATAAACAACCCACAAAGCTTTTGAGAACCTTGCTGTCTCCAACAAGCAGCTTGTGAGAAAAGGAAATACGATTCCCATGTCACACACACAGAACAGAGGCATAGGACAGACAAGACAGCATGTCCACAGGAAGTCCAAACCAAGAGTGGCAGCAAGAGAGGTCTCCTGAGCCTCTAAGTGCTCTTTTCATTACGTGTCCCTCTTAACACCTCAGGAAATACACCAGCTCTCAGGAGTGAGCTTGAAATAAATACAAATTTGCCAACGAAGGCGTATCCAACACCAATAACAGCATTAATACCTCCCCATCCAGACTGCATGGCCCATCTTTTCATGAAGTGACCTTGCCTGTCAGCAAGGAAAGAGACAGCACCATGCCTCTGTTGCTGGTCAGGCTCTGAGGTTCTGACACACGCTGCAAGAAAGGCTCAGTGCTTGCTCCCAACATCTCACTAGCAAATCAGCAGCCCGAGGGTCAGACATTGCTACTGGTCCCTCAAAGTGAGAGACATGTTAAAGTGATCTCTACCTCTCCCCAGGTTTATAAGCATCCCAGCCCGTGGACACCCAACTGATATGAAGACTGAGCAAGTGCTTACTCTTCCGACAACAAGTCCTGTAAGAGTTTATTTCGGTCACGGAAGCAGCCTAACGAGTGCATGCTATCTAACACGTCTGGATCAATATCCTCCAAGGAAGGGAGAGAACGAATCTGCACTTTTCGAGGGATTGGTTGCTCTGGTTCTGGCTCGTTCTTACCCCCTCTGCAGAGGAAAGAAGATGAGAGAGAGAAAAGGGGCAGGGAAAGAAGGAGAGAAAAGAAACATGAGTCACAAATGAACCCGTACTCTGAAACACAGCCTGCAGCAACAGATGGAAATAGCTTGTTAAATTCCCACTGAGAGACCAGGGCTCGCAACTAGGCAGATATTCTTTTCAGAAGAAACTGCTGTGAAGGCTAAGAGTGACCAGCACCTTGTGGATTTGGGTCTTTAATGAGAAATGTCCGCGTTCAGTCAGAAAGGCAGTAGGAACTTCACTTACCAGTGCCCTCATAATTTAAGCAGATGTTCAGCGTCCTAATGCCAAACATTTATAAAACACTATGTGGTTTTAGAGATGCTGTCTCATCAGTGGGACAGACCTCAGGCTACCAGGCTGAAAAGTGCAAGTTGAATGATCCTCTTTCAAAGAAGAAGCTATGAACAAACCATGACTGCTTTTCACCAATTCCCATTGCAACAGTTTTGTTCTTTAAAGCTTCCAAAGGGATTAAGAGACCTCAGTGTTCAGGTCCCCACTTGACACACGTTAAAAGGTTTTTGGGGAAACCAGGCTGTTTATTTATGACAATCTCTGCTTCTTTTCAGAGATGCAAATTTGAAAACTGTGGCCCACGTGTGATGTCGGAGGTCAGCGGAAGACCTAGGAACACATCATTAGCGGTAGAGTACATCTCTCTTTTAAAAGTAGTTAACACAAGATTTCTGCATAATAACCTCACCCCATTCACTAGACTCAGGAAATACTGATTATTTGTTGCAATTAAAAGCTGTAACTGTAAGAAAAAGGTCAAGGTGTCAAGGTATCTATAACTGACTGAATGATATATATTGCAGGCACGCTGAATATCCTTGGATTTTGCTCAGGAAGGCAGGGAGCAATTTATTTAAACTCTATTCACCCAAAGAGGTGGGTTTGGCGGTGGTGGTATTTTGGCTGGAGAAACTGTCTCCCCTGAATCTTTGCTATTTCTCAATGGATGCTTTGTACGATGTCGAGGTTTTCATATGCTTTGGGTGAGGTACTCCCTTCCGATGTTGATGTTTTCCTACTCTGTCGGTGAGGTCCTCCCTTTCCTTTATGCGATGTAAATGTGAGACTGTTGGGCCCAGGCTCCCAGGGTGGGTAACAGGATTTGGGAATATTTAAACTGCATCAGATGTCAGTGTTTGCTGTTTATGGGGCTGTCTTTGGGGAAGATGTTCTTCTTTTTGATGCTGGCAAAATAAGGCGAACGCAACTTGTGAACTTACTCGCATGGCTCAAAATGCCCCGGGCTCAGATGTGAGCTATCCAAGTATCTACATAGAAAAAGGACCTCCAATTCAAATGCCCCTAATTTTTCATGAGTAGGTTAGAAAGCAACTCTGATAGGATCATATGCATGAGCTCGAGGTCTCAGTCAGTGCACCAAAAAGAGAGCCAAAGCAAATTATTTCCTTCAAGGTAAGAAGGCAATACTAAGTCATTGCAGCCAGGGCCCTGACACTAGAACAGTTACATGCTACTCCTTAATCACAGGAGATTGCTGGGTGCTACTTGCAATTTATTTTTAAGCAAGTTGAAATGCAGTTGTGAGGCATCTGCTCTGTTAACCATGTTTGTGGGACATCACTCACAGAAAGACTTGGAAATTTTAGTTTTATCTTCTCTTGAAGCAGTGAAAATGTGCCAAGCCCTTTCTGGATACACGTCACAGAGTCAGACTCTGGTGTGCATTACATGGGTCATGACAACATGGGTCAGACCCCACTTCTCTTACACTGAGCACTCACACACCCCCTGCTCAGTTTTATTCACTTTAGGAGGCTGGAAGTAGAATATATAGGACAGAGAAACAATCTGCTCCTTGGGAGTTGTTCTTGTGTGTCAAACCACTAAAACTCAGCTTCTGACGCTCCACTGGAGTCTCGCACAAGTGTCTACGCCTTCTGCAATGACATCATGCTTCTGAATCTAAGGGCTGGATTCAAAAATCCTTGTTCAACTAAAGGAAAATCTTACTCCTTGAGTGCCCTGTCTTTAAGAGGTAGCTACTCCTACCTCTTAGGATCAGGATCTAGCTCTCAGCAGCTAATAAGCAATGATTAGATCATAACCTGCACTATTAAAGCCAGTGATGATCTTGTCATCAAGATAAATTCTTGCAGGATGGACCTCCGAACAGCAGCTGAGTGTTTTTGCTTTTTAATGATCTGCAGTTCACTTTTAAATATTGACTTAAAATTAATGAGATTCATTATATGTTACAAGCAGATGTCCTTAAGGTAATTTAATGAGATTAAAAAGAATTATTGTTTTTGAAAACTTCCAGAAAATCTGGGTTTCCTACTAGTTGCCCTAGTCTATAGCAGAATATCACCTCCAAGCTTCTTTTGAGTCAATCAGCGTGTGAGCCATTTCTAGAGAGCACAGCTTGTCATTTTCTGTGCACTGAAAAGTAGCTTTTCCTTATGCCCTGCATCTGGTCAGCCTCAGACATAGTCAGGAATTTTCACACCTCCTCCTCAGGTGCAAGCAAAATCTGCAAAGAGGTGCCTCGTCATTTGGCAACGCAACTCAGTGCTTCAGGAAACGAAAATCACCGGCTCTGGGCTGTGATTGGCACGACTGCATGGCTTGTTCCATCCTCAGTCTAGCACAGAGTGACAAATTTGTTGCATTTCAGCCCCCATAGACACCAAACAATGTCACACGATGAATACTGCAAATCACGTATATTTTTTAAAGGCCCGCATGAATGTAATTGCTGCTTTAAAACCCATCCTCTTTTGTGAGGATCGGGGCGTACAATGGCTGTGATTCCAGACCAGGGTGGACTTTTTAGTGTCTCCATGAAATTCGCTTGTGAATCTCACCGAGATGCACATTTGCATGAGTGCAAAGCAAAGGCAGAACTGGTACAGTCACTCTTTTTCTGATTTTATTAAATTTGGTACCTTCACAATTAGGGCAATAAGTCAGCGTTCCAGGAGTAGGCATTTACCATAACAGCCAATTTTATTTGCCCTCTTGCTTTATTAAAAAAATGTGAAAATAACTGCTGTTTATTTGCTGATTTATGATAACCTGCACTTGAGGTAAAAATAAATTATTTCAATTAAAAAGGCTTAAAAAACCTCACTGAATTAATTTGGGTGGGAGAGCAAGAAGAACTGGAGGCTGGTGATGAAAGGTTTCTTTTTGGTTTCTTTTTTCCTTTTTTTAGGCTTGTGAATCATGATTTCAACTTTCAAGACCTCTTTCTCTGTCTGCCTAGTCTGCAGTTAAATCTCCTCAGTTTTACAGTAGCCTTAATATTTATTTGACGAATTAAGTGAAATCACTTCTATGTTCTGAGTACAACTTTCAGGTCAGTAACCCATATATGACAAAGTATGAAGATTTTACATAGAACAATAGTGTAAAAGAAAGAAAAAATGAAAGATGTGAGCAAAACAGCCATAGAGTAAACCACTTAAAACCCCTCGTTCACTGTCAGCACCAATATTTCAGGCAAAATGAATGCAAAGAGGCTGCAAAACATTACCAGATGAAAGCAGTTGAGTTTTGGAGGTGGCAGGGTTATTCACAGATTATATTTAGCCTAAGGAGGCTAACCCCCTTAGGTCAATCCATGTCCAGTACAGAGAAAATGAGAGAGAGACTTATTCAGAAAGCTATTTTGAGCAGAAACTTCATTTTGGGCAATTTGAACAGACTTCTGGAAGAGCCTTTCTCTCTATGCATTGACTACATTGGGAGTCTAGGGGAGACTTACCTTTGTAAAACTCAGTTTCTACTTCTGAAAACAGTCTCAGATGCTGTTTCCATTGGGCAAAAAACAGTTTACTGTATCACCCATCAGAGAGTCTGACCTTTATGGAGAAGTATGTGAAAATGTTCAACTGCTTTTGTTTGCACAGAAAAAATATATTCAAATTCTAAATCTAGAATAAAGTAATGAAACATCTGCCTAATTGTGCCTGTAAGCCTGGGACAACAGTTCTCCACCAGGTGAGAACTTCCAGGCAAAAATCTTGAGGAGAGTTAGAATAATAATATAAGTGATCAATGACATTTCATTTTATTTCCTTTTCCAGTTCTGATCAAAGTACAGAGAAAGCCAACTGATTTCACTCCATGAAGAAACAGAGGCGATCAGCCATCCAGTCTGATGTAAACAGCATTTACTTCTGGAATTGCTAGTAAGACATTACAGGAGGGCTGTTTCAGAGACTACAATTCCCCTCCATTTCTCCTACATTTATCCATGAGAGTTCTAAAAAAAAATACCTGCAGCAAACAACATGCCAGTCCTTCTTTGGTTTAAAAAGCTGCCACGTCAACTGGTAACTGTAGAGAGCATGAAAAAGCCATGGGCAGAGTGCTGCCACCATTTCAGGTGAACAAAGAAAAAACCCATGTTGTTCAATAAACTGCTGAATGCCCTCAGGACCTATTGAAGTCAGATAAATCCAGAAGTGAACGTTGCCCATAAGGTAGAATTAGAGAAAACAAAACAAATCAAAACAAAGGTGTGGGTTTTTTTTCCTGGTGACAGGCTTAAATATCAGTTCATATACTCCTCAAGTATTTCCCAAGAGTAATGACAAGATTATGAAGGCAGGATTTTCCTTATCATCCACCTGAGGAACCTGTAGGTATGCTGACCCCGAGAAGCATGTATCAAAGCATCATTTCCTTGTTTAATATGTGAAGTATTCTCCTTAGTTTGATTAGGTTATCATCAGTATAAAAAAAGATGTTATTTACTTAGGTTTCTTTAAATACTATGAAGGCTACACAAAGTGCAAGGTCACTTTTAAAAACCATCAATCTTCCTTATACCCAAACCGCTAGACAGGTGTGTACTTTTCTCACAGACCTCCTGTTTCACTGTCAAGACTGCTGCTTTTAATCAAGCCACAGAACTACTCTCACATCAACAGGTTACAAGGTCAGAAGCAGCCTCTTCAGCTTGCTGCGAAGAAAGAGTAGGGATTATGAGACAGAAAAGCTCTTGTTCACAGGTGCTTACTTATCAATATCATCATTTTTGTTTCTACTTCAGAGAAAAGCCAAGATGCCAAGAAGGAACAAACGAAAGCTTTCCTGTCAAGAAGGTATTACAAGGGATTGTCTGCAGCATTTGGACAGCAAACTAAATATGGCTCTTAGTTGGGGATTTCTTTGCTGATCATTCACAGGTATCTTTTTAACACAGCAAGTTGCTGGACTGAATGTCTTATTTCAAACGATTGATAGCCTCTGTATAAAAAGTTCTTGGCTTGAGATATAGATATATGTATATATATGAAATCATATGAGTAGCAAAGGGTAAAAAAAAAACATTAGATGCTTTCCTGTCCTCTGCCCCTTTCTCCACCTGGGTGAAAGCTGCTTTCAGACTCCAGTCTTTCTTTTCAGAGTCACTAGAATATCAACTCCTGTAACAGAACCAATAATGAATGCATGCAAAAGTGAATTTAAAAAGTGTTACTTACATATACCATATGTGTTTCTGAATATGTTCTAGCTGTAAAAGAAAAGAAAACAAGGAATTAGTGCTGTAAAACAAAAAATGTAACTCCATAAGACATTCTTATCCAAGGCTTATTCAAGTAAATTCAACATTCCAGAGATGGATCTGTGAAAACAACAGTAAATTTATGGGGCATAAAGAGCATGCTCATCCTCACCCACCCCACTGGAAACAAGATTATAATTCTGGACATAAGGAATCAGCCAGGAGCAAATCCCAGGAAAATGCATAAAAGGCTTCACAGGCAAGTGTTTTGGCACTCTAAGCCCTTTCCCTCTATAACCTGACTGAAGCTAACAAACTGCTCCTTTCTGTACGTGTGTAATTGCTGATTCTTTACATCTAAAGTTAATTTTTAGTTTTGTTTGGGGGAAAAAAAAAGAGAGAGAGAGAAGGAAACAGAAACAGGTTCAAACAACCTGAATAAAAAAAAGAAATCATGCATATGTGATATGATCTTCTCCCAGGACTCAGTCTTGATTGGCTTCACGTTTATCATGAAAATCTAAAGATCAAGTAGAATAAGGTTCTATGCCAAAATAGTACAATTTTTTGTTCCAGTACCTAAACATGAGACTGCAAATTTCTTCTACTTCCCTCTTTCCTGTTTCACACATGAGCATTTTACCATGTAATGAAGGACTGATCAAAGCTTAACTGTGGCCCTGTTCACCTACAGAAGGCAGATCCCAGCAAACATCACATGATGACCATGTTTTCCACAAGCACGGGGAAAAGAAAGCAACACCCTTTTTCCAAGAGAAACTCTTAACAGTAGAGAGAACAAACTGTTCATATGACACGCTTACAGCAGAACCTTCCTTATCTGTTTTTTTTTGAAGCATCACCACAGTAGAAAAGAACTTTTCATAGATGCCCAGGGATTTATTAATTATGCAGACAATATTTCTTATATTCCTCATTATGAAGCACCTTTGTATGTGCAGAACAATACACATACTCACTGCATACAGGCTTGTGTTGTGAGGCAGGGGAGAGCTGGAAGGAAACTCAAGTGCTAACAGCTATAAGATGAAATCACAGACCCATTAAACTGGTCAGGAAGAACAGAGACAGCTGTCCTGCTCTTATTACTTTCCACTTCAATTCCAGAATAATGAGAATCAGAGAGAAACAAAAGAAAAAAAAAGAAGAATGGACAAACAACAAAATCTCAGAGATAGAAAGTAGGTGTTTGCTACAGACAGCAAGGAATCAGAGACCTCTGTGCTATGGAACAACAGCTCTGTGCCTGGGAAACCAGGAAGATCTGAGGTTGGCTCTATAAGAGATAATTTTTTAAGTGAGACAGGGCTTTTCCTGAAAACAAAGAAACAAGGGAATGCTGCCTAGGAAAGCATGACAAGAGGCTGAAGGGATCAGTATGAGAGACAAACAGCCTCCTTTAAACCCAAGACTGTATCAGCACTTCAATCAGAGGTGCAGTTGGTACTTGCATATCTAGCTGTCTTCCAACCAGCCCAGGTGCTGGGAGCATCAAGGCCCCCCAGCACACACACCCAGGGGCCCAGGCAGACTTGCACAGCTTCCAGCTGTGGCCTCAGCTCTGCCACAGTAATTCCCTTCATCACAGTTCCCCTTGCATTTAGGTAGTTCTTTCATCCCTGCACTATTAAGAGAAAGGTGGAGTGTTCCTGACACACTACCATCTCTCCTGACCAGCTTAACTCAAGGAGACAAGATACATATTATGAGCATTCTCCTAACAGCCTGGAGACGCAGCCCTCTTCCTCCTAGTTCTTTGCAAGCTGGGGTGCAAACACAGAACATAAGAAGAGCCTGTTTAGTACAGCTTCCATGGGACAGAATTTTAGCATGATCACTTATCAGGTCCATAGTACTGTGAGGATCTGCTAAGGAGTGTACCGTACCTCCTTGGCTCGGTAAAGCCACCCTATGAGATGCATATCTACTCGTTATTTCACATACACCATGTGGAGGGTTAGAGACATTAATGATTTCGGACAAGATGCAGATGATACAGCTAAGCGATGTCCAAGCCTCTTTCATGCTTGCTTCTCCTGCTGCATTTTCTGTCTCTGTGGGTCACACTGCTCTTTTGTGCCTGTGATACACAGAAATGCCATGGCGAAGCAGACAACAGCATTTCATTTTCTGAGTCAGAGAGGGGGAAGAAAGGAGGGTCACCAGTTCGTGTCTTAGTCACAGAACCTCTAGGCTCTTTCAGAGAAGATGTCAAAGAGAAATCCCTTCTGCCCATCCCTGCTGATCAACCTCCTTCAAGCTAAGGAACCCAAAGTATTTTTCTGAAAGAGAAGCCCCGTAGCATCCTGATATGCATTTGAAGGTGTATGACAGCTCTCCTGGCTCCTGTTTACCCACACATCTGCCATCCAACCCACACCAGAACCACTGCTGTGAAGTACGCTGGGATATCCCAGATAGGAAAGGTGTTCGACAAAACCAATTTCTGTTCTGATTCAAATGTAATTGCATTGAAATGTTATTACAAGTGTGCTTGCTGCTGCCAACATCTTCACTGCTTCTTTAAAGGTAATTAATTAATGCTTTGTTGCTTTTAATCTGCATTAAAGTGACAGGAGGGTTATGGGAGGGCGATGGGTTTTGACAAGGAGAAGTCTGTATGCTTTTTACTCTGCGATGCAGGAGAGGGAGATACACAGTGGGAGCTAATCTCACTCCCCCTGCCTTCGTTTAAACACAATGTTTAAATGCATTTAAGTGACGAAGGCATTTAACAACCCTTCCCAGAGGGTTCTTCTTGCTGTTTGCACATGAGTTTGCCAAATTTAATGCCATTTTATGGAAGCTGTAAAAACGCTGCTTCTTAACATCTCCTAGCCACTGCAGGCAATTGTCTCATGACGTCATCTCTGAAACATCAAAACATGCTCAGATCCATTGCACACGCACAGTCAGAGGAGAGGCTTCTGCAAGCTAAAATGCTGTAATGGAAGGAGAGGGGGAATTCCTTTATCATGGTTTTACGTAAAAATACTTCAAATATATATTACACTTGTATATTGAAGTAGCATCTAGGAGCCCCGCTCACAGATGAGAGACCTGTTGTGATACAAGAGCTGTACAAGCTCATAAGAAAAAGAGGTCTCCCCCCCAAAAAGGAGCTTACATCTGAATTCTAAGGCAGGGAACAACAGATGGAGACAGGCAGATGGAAAACAAAACAGTGCTGTCTACATCCTCGGCACTGATCTCAGCAGAGTGATTGCCAAGCTAAAAAGTTATGACCCGAAGAAAAACTTTCTCAAAGTCTGTGGATATGGACGAGGGCTTCTGGGCTTAAACTCATGTCAAATTTCGAACTTCCCTGTCCAGAAAGGGAACAGTCTCAAAACCACCTGTGCACTAAATCGACCCACATCTCAGATGAATCTTCTTCATTCAGAAGATCCTCTAGACTGAGCTTTAAACCTACTGTATCATGTCAAGATAGAGGCTTTTCCTGACCAAAGGATTCGAGCTAGCAGTGCAAACAGCGCTGGTAGACTCGTGATCTGTGTCAGCAGTAGCAGCCTCCAGGGACCCTGACAAGGGCAAGGTACCACACTGCTACATGCACAGTGCATGAACAGGCCCTTGGCAGCCAAAAGCTTACAGCCTAAATACATCAACTAGACAATTACATCTATTCTACAGGTGGTGAAGTGAGATAATTTAAAAGATGTCATAGGCACCTTACCGTAAGACCTTCTAGAAAAATGAAGAAGGAATCAGGGTGAGTTTTCACCTTTTCATTTTTTAAACATTCTTTAGATGCTGTGGTCCATCATTAGCATACATTAGACCAAAGAGAAAAACAAAATCAAACAGAGAGCAGAGAAGAGATTCTGAAAATGTGTGTAATATAAGTTGGATAATATTCAGGGACAGGTATTTCAGACTATGTGGACACCCGACATAAAACACAAGTCATAGAATCATAGAATCGTTACGGTTGGAAGGGACCTCATAGATCGTCTAGTTCCAACCCCCCTGCCATGGGCAGAGACACCCTCCACTACACCAGGTTGCCCAAAGCCTCATCCAACCTGGCCTTGAACACTTCCAGGGATGGGGCATCTACAACTTCTCTGGGCAACGTGTTCCTGTGCCTCACCACCCTCTGAGTGAAAAATTTCTTCCTTATATCTAATCTAAATCTCCCCTCTTTCAATTTAAAGCCATTGCCCCTTGTTCTAGTACTACATGCCCTTGTAAAAAGTCCCTCTCCAGCTTTCCTGTAGGCCCCCTTTAAGGACTGGAAGGCTGCTATAAGATCACCCCAGAGCCTTCTCTTCTCCAGACTGAACAGCCCCAACTGTCTCAGCCTGTCTTCATAGCAGAGGTGTTCCAGCCCTCGGATCATCTTCGTGGCCCTCCTCTGGACCCGCTCCAGCAGCTCCGTGTCCTTCTTGTGTTGGGGACTCCAGAGCTGAACGCAGTATTTCAGGTGGGATCTCATGAGAGCAGAGTAGAGGGGCAGAATCACCTCCCTTGACCTGCTGGCCACGCTACTTTGGATGCAGCCCAGGGTACAGTTGACCTTCTGGGCTGCCAGCACACATTGCCAGCTCATGTTGAGCTTCTCATCCACCAGCACTCCCAAGTCCTTTTCCTCAGGGCTGCTCTCAATCCATTCTCCGCCCAGCCCGTACTTGTGCTTGGGATTGCCTCAACCCATGTGCAGGAACCTGCACTTGGCCTTACTGAACTTCATGAGGTTCTCACAGGCCCACCTCTCCAGCCTGTCGAGGTCCCTCTGGATGGCATCCCTTTCCTCCAGCATGTCCACAACACCACATAACTTGGTGTCATCTGCAAACTTGCTGAGGGTGCACTCGATCCCACTGTCCATGTCTCCAACAAAGATGTTAAATAGCACTGGCCCCAGTACTGACCCCTGAGGAACACCACTTGTCACTGGCCTCCACTTGGACATTGAACCGTTGACCACAACTCTTTGAGTACGACCATCCAGCCATCAAGTCATTCTACTCTGGAATAAAACGTCAACACTGGAACAATTACAGCTTTATCAGAATAGCTTATTCTGCAATATCTGCTCTGATCCACCTTGCTCTACAGACAAAGTTTTGATAATGCTCAGCCATCTTTAAAAGGAAAGTGGACCAAAAGCTCCTTACTTTTTCCCCTTTGCCTTTGTGTTTCTGTAGAAGAAAATATTAGCTAAGAATGCAAATGGATTCCACTACAGGAGCTGTAATTCTCTGCTGTAGAGATGCTGAATCATTTGAAATCTCCAAAGAAAGAAACATTCACTTTCAGAAGAGCACATTACTAAAAGAAACTTCATCCTGCAATACCGCAGGCACTGTAAACCTTCCATAAGCCTTCTCAAAACTTGAAACTAGTTCACTTTTCCCTCCTCACACTATTCCTACTAGAAAGCTGTCCCAGAACCCCACTAATACCCAGAACCCCACTAATTTCTAGCCTACTTTCTGGTAAGGCCATTTGACATACGCTTGGTTTTGTGCCACTATCTTCCTTTAGTTTAGGTAATTCTTCTCTTCCTAGTAATTGCCTCTAATGAACATGCAGATGACCAGCACAACTTTTCTTAGACATCATCTGTGTAGACTAAGTGGAGCTCTTTCAGGCTGTGCTATTCAGACAGGCTCTCTCAAATGCCGACCACCGTAGTACTCATACTTTGTCTGATTTCCTGGATTACATGGATTCTTTTATTTTAAAGCATTTATTTCTTTTATTTTAAAGCATGTTTAGTAAAACAGGCTGCGGTGGTTTAGCCCAGCTGTCAACTAAATGCCACATAGCCGCTCATTTACCCTCCCCTATCCCAGGGGAACGGGGAAGAGAATTGAAGGGAAAAAGGAAAGGAGACCTGTGGGTTGAGACAAGAACAATTTAATAATGTAATGAAAATAATAATAATTATATATGAATATATATATATATAATGATAATAATATATATAAAAAAGTGATGGACAGTGCAATTGCTCACCACCTGGTGACTAACACCTGCCCTGTCCCAGTAAACGATTCCGAAACAGGTAAGTCCTGACTCTGCAATCCTGGAAGAGCGAGAGGCCCAAAAAGAGAACGAGAGCAAGACAGCACTCCAAGAGTGAGAGCCTCTGGAAAAGCAAAAGCCCTTCTTTATGATCAACCCTCACCTTTATACTAGGCATGATGTTGCATGATACGGAATACTCCATTGGCCAGTTTACCCCTCAGTCCTCAGTCTCCATTCAAATCATAAGGGCAGTTGTGGACCTTTTGTCCTGGCCATGCTCCCCCCAGCCTGTTGTGCTCCTGCACACTGGCAAGAACACGGGAAGCTGAAAGTATTGAAGTCTGAGTACCAACTGTAAACATCAGTGCGCTACCAACATTATTCTCATAACAAATCCTAGATAAAACCAAAACACAGAGCTCTTCTAGCTGCTAAAAAGAAAAACTAACTCTGCCTCAGCTGAAACCAGGACACAGGCCCAGTAAAGGAGAGTGGTCAAGGACGTCCCACTAACCATACTCGAGGCTATGTAATATATGGTGAGCATGAACAATATTCTACTAAGACATAATAAAGTCTTCTTTCCATAAATGAATCATATACAAAGAAAGGTAATGTCTATTTCTTAAGGCAGGAAAGGGCCAGCAACGATAATTCTGAGTACGCTCCTCTCCATTAATCCTCTCAAGCTCTAACACTGAAGCCGAATGATGACAGCTAAACGGGAATGCTAGTTCTGGTTTTGTCGATCATTTTAACAGATGGAGTGAGGAAGGTGTGGGTGTGCTGTGAAATGGCAATTACTGCAGGGAGGGAAATGCAGTTGGATGAAAAGGAAGAGAGATACAAATCAAAAAAAAGGAACAAAGCAGAGGGGAACAGAAAAATGAAAGAAAAAAATTCTAGTGACCTTATATTTCATATATTTTTCTGCTGAATTCACCAGTGAGATACTGAGCAAATGATCAGTAATGCTAACAGCTACATCTGTACTTATTGTACCCAGGCCACAATTTCACTCAGACCTTTGTATAAATATCAAACTGATTCAAGTGAGATATTTTCTAGGAATAGAGGCTTCCAAATAAACCCGTATTTACACTCTCTTTCACAGGACACAGCTAAAATAGAATTCAGATCTCTCTTCAAAATGAACTATATATTCCTAGCTCCTGTGTGGTAAACAAAGAGCTCCCTTCTGCCTGGCAATCGAAGCAACCGGCACGCTATCAGCATAGAAGTGTGACAGCAGCAGAGACAGCAAACCCTAAAATAATGAAAATAAAACTGCAGTTAATAACAAAGAGCTATTCTTTTTTCCTCCCAGCTCTCAGCTCTTGAATGTGTTTTATTTCAAATTCTCATTCAAAATTCACTGGTTAGTGCTGCTCAATAACTATCTGATCTGAGTTTTTTTCCTCCCTAAGGAAATAAGAGCTTAATTTTGACCAAGGAAAGGGCGGTGGTGGTGTCACTCTGGGACCTTGAATTACCTTAACTATTTTCTTTCTTAAGTGTGTACATTCTTTGCTGTATTGCACAATTCAAACCATTTAGAGACTATGCTCTATGGCAAAACTCAGTCAGAACAATTTCAAGAAGATCTAACATCTGACGATCTACTCCCCGGCATACTCCAACCATCAGCACTAAGATCTTTGAGAGAAAAAAAAACAACAACAGAAAAACCATTATGTTTATATCATGGAAAGGAAACTAAGATAGTGTTCATGACTTTCTTGGTCATGAGGAACAGTTGTCTCATGTCTCAGGGTATAGCCCTAACCTCTGCAGCGTTCTTTCCATGAAAATACTTGGAAAAATATTCTCTCTTTAAAAATCTGTTTTGAAAAGGCCTTTAAAGTGCCTAATACTTACCCCCACCTTGACAGTGCTACTTATGTACCGCAAATGTGGTGGCTACGGGGTTTACAGAAGTAGAAATACTAGTAATAGCATAAAGAGGTTTTCACCTGTGTTGCCAAATAGAGCATGACCTGGTTTTGTGACGAATGAAAGAAAAACCCAGCTGCAGCTGTCAGGTAATACTGTAAAGAGAGTTGTGAAGGGAGTTTCAGTTCACTTCTTAGCAGACAGGTGTCTGCATCCCAGAAGCACCATCACAGCTGGTGTAGACTGATGCTGTTGTTAGCAATCTCAGCAGAGAGGCCAAGCGCTGATCTGAGAGTTTATTTATAAATATTTTAGCAGACTGAAGAACCAGGAGGAGTTTTAAATTTACATTTCTTTATGAATACTCCCACTCAGAATCTGTGAGCTTAGTAAATCTGTATAAAATCATCACCACAGCCTGACAATAGGATTTACAAGGGCAACATACCCATAAAGGCAGAAGCCTCCACTGACAAGCAGGCAATCTTGCTTTCCAAAACGATTTTAATTGCTAATTTTTTTTAATTCCCCAAAACATTAACGCAGTGTTAATGAAGGATACAATCACTACACAGAGCTCACCCTCGCAGGGTCTCTGTTGTAGTGATGGATGTATCTTAGATGCAAAGACCCGGTGCTGAATGCCAGGAGCTCAACACTGTGGGCCTAATCGTGCTCAGTACCACAGGGCACGAGATGGAAGAGCAGACTAGAAGACACTTGCTCTGAAGGCTGCTGGGGGATAATGCAGAGCATACGCAGGATAGAATACAATGCAAGTTGTGTGGCATGACGTGAGAAGCCACCACTTCTATCAGAAATGTAAGAAAAGCATACTCTGTTTAATTGCAAAGCTTCAAATAACACTCCTAACAGTTTTGACCTTCACACAGCTGTATCACATCCCTGACAAACTACTATACCAGCCAGGAGAGCCAGACTACTCAGAGGGACTCCAAAATGTGCTAATGGGTCAGTAGCACTGTGATGATGTTATGAGGGATTAATTCTAAATGCCCACTGTTACTTATGAAGGAGAAATATGAGGGTGGAGAAGAGACACAAAGGTAATCTGCCCTCATGATTCAAAAGAGAAGGTAACTAACTTCTTCCCAAAGACTTCACCAACTCCCCTCATTCTTTGCTCAGGAGGAAACACACCGGAGTGGCAGTAAATCAACAAGTTACCTTAGCTATTTGACCGTAACAGCAATGAGGAGACAAATGAAGCCTTGCTCACACGACTTGCAGCAAACGCCTTCTTACCGTGAGACGTTTCGAGGCATCCACTTCAATCATCCCCCGCAAAAGGTTCTGACAGTCTGGGGGGATAAAATGTGGCATGTGGAACACTCCACGTTTCACCTTTTCCAACAGCTGCCTCAAGTTGTCGTCATCGAAAGGCAGGGCACCCTGCAGGGATGTGACAGAGTGGTGGATAGGAGAGACGAGTGAAAGGGAATTGGAGAGGGCAAAAGGAGAAAAGCCAGGATAAACATGGTGAGAGAATGGAAAAGAGGACGTCAGCTCATAATGAATTATTATAGTAAGTGAAACAACCTTTTTATCCATGGAAAATAAATAATTTCTTAGTGCTGCTGTATTTTCTTCAACATACGAAACAAAATTGAGGACATAGTTTTTTTATTAGACCCTTAATTAGAAAATGAGTACCAGGATAAAACATAATACAAAATATGAAATTGCCTTTCCAGGCAAATTCACCAAAGATGCATGGATTCACTTAAATTCAGCTCAAGCTTTTGATCTGCTGGTATTCCTCCTGGGCATACTTTCACAGAAGCAATGTTTATCGTCTCCTTATTTTTAATCTTCCTGAGACACATTTATTGCAGACATCGAAAAGGAGGTGAACAGCATTTGAGAGACTTTCAGCAAAGAACATCCTCTTTCTGATGGAGCAGCGAAATGACACAGCTGAAAGAAACCCTAAGCAACATTAATTAGCCTTTGGAAGCAGCAGATATTCTTCCTGTTTAATATACTCCATCCAGTTCCCATGCTGTGGTCAGGTCATCAGTTCCTATTGCTTCCCTACTGTAGCTCACTTACATGAATGGCTTAAGGTTTTTTTAGCTGAAATTACATTTTGAATAGATCATCAGCTTGCCACAAAAAGCAGCAAAAGACCTATCATTGCTGCAAGGACAAAAAGGAAAAAAGTTGAAATCTTTAGGACAACTCCATCAACTGAAGCTGATGCCCTTTTATAGCAAGCCTGCACCTTCCTAGATAGTCTCACTTCCTTCTTTCACTGCCTAATTCTAGTAGGTGCTGAGCTTCCTTGATTTCCAGAACGGTTTGTGGGAAGCTGCAAGCTGTCAGCTGCTGTGATAATGAAGCTTTAAGTTGTCAATTCTGGCACTGCTCTTACTATAGCGAGTAGTGCATCTGTATCGGCAATCATGCGTCTGTGGTTTACAGAGACCAGCAGCTCCATTTACAGAAGCCTCGGAAAGCCCACCTGATGGCACCTGCTACTGGGCACTATTTACTGTTGTTTGTTCATTCAAGTGGCCTTGGAGAGAGAGCCTCCCTGTCTTCTGTAACCAATCTTTTGAGTTACCTACTTTTTTCCTAACCTTTCCAGACTTAAAGGAAAATCAATTCTGATAGTTCAGTACTTTGGCTAACGCAATTTAAGCCACGACGAAGTCTGCAAGGCTGCTATGTGGAATTTCCTGAAGGTAACAACTACAGCTCTTTTATTACTACCACCTGCTATTATAGCTTGAGACTTTTTGTAGGGTTTCTCCTGACATAATTGACTGGAGAGCTCTCCACTCTCCATCAATAACAGACTTATTTCAATTGTTTCACAGACATATGTATACATGTAGGAACAGATGAATATGCAGCAACAAAGAGACACCAAATCTTGACAGAGAATCTTCCTGAAAATGAAAAGCACACTCCTACAAATCCTAACCATCTTGACATATTCTCTCTTCTATTCTTACAAACTCAAGAAGTTATATTAAGAGCTCATTATACAGTTCTATTTTATCAGCCATGCAAATAGCTGCTCAGGAGCAAGAGTTGACTGGGTGATATATAGCGAGATAGTTAAAATTCTTCCTTTGCAACATCAAGACAAAAAATCTAAAACTTCAAAAATGTCAGTGAATTGTAATCACTAAAAAGAAAAAAAGAATAAGATTGGTTAAGGTGAATCGAAGCATCATACTGAGATTACTTCAAGGTACTTTGATTCGGGCCATTAAAAAAATTATCGGCATATTTTTAAAAACAAAAATCCTTTAAAATTTTCAAATATTTAAAACAAAAATAATGTGCAGAATTTAACTGATTGTACATCGCACAAGTGCTTTTGTCAAAATAAAACATTTAAGTGAAGCAATTAGGTTTACTAATAAATGTATGAGGACATAAAAATTTGACATAAAGCTTGTTATTTTTATAATTGTAGATTATAATCTGAACTATCATAGATATAAAAAACTTAACATGCACATAAAATCTACTTCCATATACAGTATTCGATCTGCACATGGTATATGCTTATATGAACATAAACAGTATCATCCTACATTACACTGTGGAAATTGGTAACAAATGCCAAGCCTATCTGCCTTCAGCTGGACATTCAATTGTTGTATCTTTAGGAGTATTACATTACCACTGCAAATCAGAATAAATTCCACAGAGAATTCAAACTTCGATTGAAAGAAGGATAAGTTACAAGATAACACGTTTTGAATACTAAAGAAAATATTACTGAGCCAGATGGAAACTAATTTAAACTTTGTACTACTGGCTCAGTTTTATATTCCCAAGTTTACCAAGTTAAAATGTAGCTCAATACTTGCATGAAACAAAATTATTGCACTCAAATCTTCTCTTGATAAAACACTGCAGTTAATGTATGCATATACCTAGTGGAACACATACATGCATACAGCAGAAAAAACAAACACTTCCCAAAGCCAGCTGTATTTTGATCCTGTGAAGGACAACTTATTTGACAGTCTCCATATCCTGGAGTTGTAACCCTGTGCATCTTTTCCAGTCAAAAAATGTGCTGCAATATCACAACATGGCAAAGAGCATTTATGGAGACAAGTTTTTGACGCTTGTCTATGCTCTCTGGTGCAGGGCAGCAGCATTTCAAAGAAGCAGTGAAATACTCCTCACACTTTTCCTTTGGGACTGATGTAGAAACAAGAGGAAAAAATGCAACTGAGAGATATAAAACCAGGGCAACTAAAAAAAACCATCTTTACATGATGTCAATAGAATCACGATTATATACAGCAGCATTTTTGGATTTCTCTTTTCTTTTTAAAGGACAGCACAAAGAAGATGACTCACCACTAGCAACGCAAATAAAATGACTCCGCAGCTCCAGACGTCTGCTTTCCTTCCATCATATTTTTCTCCCTGCGCAGCAATGACACAGAGGTTCAAAAGACTGCTCACTAGTAAATGAATTAATTATCCTTGAAGAACACGAGAGGGGAGAATGGGAAACCCCACATTTCAATTCAGCCACCTGCGTCCTAAGGTAGCCTTCCCAACTAGTAGGCCATGACACAGCCCATTCATCGAATTTTTATGAACGTGCAGTTTACAGTCTTATCTGGGATCTGCGAGAGCTCATCAGAAGTGGGGAGAAAGGCAGGAATGGTCAGCAACTCATAAATGATTAGACCTGACACTTAAACAGTGTCAGAGGTGCATTAAGGATGTCAAGAAGGTGTTTTTCTCTTCCCTGGTTCTTCAGGGAGCTTGTCACCAGTCACATTATTTGCACACTCGTAGTATTGTATGGACCGTCTCTTCTGTACGCTCCTTGCTTGGCTTTACATTAAAGATATGCTTTAAAAAAGAGGAATCTTGGCCACTGAAATCTTGGATACTTCTTTTCAGAGGACAAAGGGAGAGTAGAGGGAAAGGAGAGTTGGTATTGTTTAACGGAAATCAACATCACTGACAGGCAACCCCGGTTCTTCTACTGAAATGACAGCTACATCAGAGACAGGAAATCGTAGGGGACTGCATCCCCTGGGTGGCAACATCAAGTTAAACGCGGCTACTGTACTTCTGTCTCATCACATGGCACGAAGGGTACTGCGAGAGTAACACACCATCATTCCCCTCATGTGGTCGATGTGGCTTGATTCAGGGCTGAGCCAAACGAACAAAACCTTAGTTATGTTCCCTGTGTCCTCTCCAATGCTGTCTGCCTTGGACAGATTTCCTGTACAGAGGGTCGATCTCCATACATGCAACGAGTGACACTTCAAAACCTATATTTATACACACTAATGTTAACCGACTTACCCGGATGACTTCAGGGCAAGCATAATGTGGTGATCTGAAACACAAAATAGAATCCAATGAGCATGTAACAGCCTGGTATTTACGGATTACGTGCATTTCCATTTTGTTTAGCAGAATCACGATTGCCTCACTTATAGGTAATGCCAAGTGTGCAAAACCAGCACTTTTCTCCTTACCTCAGTGAGAACACACTTCTACAAAACTCAGATAATGGCCAAGAACTACCACGATTCAAAATTCTATGGTCCAACTATGAATTTCTTCAGAGTGAGGAAGGAAGAGAAGACCAGGCATGTTCTCTGACTATGTAGAATTCCTACTCTCTGATCCCACCCTTTAACTTGGTCTCGTATCTCCTTAGAATGCAGGCCCACACGGGATAGCCTTTTATAAGAAAAAAGACAGACGAATATTTTCAGACCAAACCCACGCATCTGCAAACCACTCCTTGCATCGCATCTCTTCTGCTAAGACTGCTCTCAGTTACTCCAGTGGTCACAAAAGCTGCCAATACCTGATTTCAACATGCAATATTTATTTTCTTTTTTAAAAAAAGGATGGACAGTAGTATTACCTAGTAAGTTAATATATTCTTTTCACATCCTTCTGCCCGTATATCTCCAGTTTGATTCCTGGCTGAGAATAGTTAATTACTTCAACTTGCCAGGTAATCATTTTAATTCCTACAGATTATAGCCACAGCTATTTATTTTATAGCCTTCATTAAAGTAACTTGACAAGTAAAAGGGATGCAAACTGTCTGAGACCTGTCTGCAAATCATGCTATTGTTTATACTGACACCTCCCAGCAGTCCCTGAGCCTGTCTTCATTTGTGCATTTGTTTCTTGTGACAAACGCAATCATGGCTGGGCAATACCTGTCTCACAAAGTAATAAGCAAAACAGAAGCACAGAGAGGTTGGCTTTGTGCTAGGATGCTACATTAATGCCCAGCGAGACAGCCCATTAATTGAATTTCCATACACACTACACTTATCTTATGACAAAATATCATCCCATGGGCATGGAACACCCCGATTTGGTATCACAGCTTTTGGCAGACCATGATAATAAACTCAGGGTACACTTGGGACTGGAGCTACCTTGACAGCAAAGCTTAAGCGAGGAGCGAGAAATGCAGTTGATCCCTCACAAATTTTAGTAAGGGTGGAATTCAGAAGTTTAGTACAATATTTAATACTCCCCTACCCCCCATTTAAGAGGTTATCACAGATATTCTAACCAGGTCTATCTGCTCAGTAGTGATCGCAAGCATCTTAATTTAGACTAGATTTCATAAAAACCTTGATTCAAAGTCAAAACAGACCATGAAAACCAGAGCCTTCCGTCAGAGAGCTGGCCAGAGTTGCCCCTTGGGAGATCAGAAAGAATGGACCTGTGCCTAGTAGGCAGGACAGACTACTTGGGCTTTCTTGGCAGCTCTGTCACTGGCAGCCATATGGACATGGCCAAGGTTACTTAACATTTTTAAAAGCTGCACCTGGCAAAAGTTTGAAAAGGTAACCATGAGTCTACTCTTCTGACTGGTGAGATGCCACCACAGCTTTCGTACCTCACAGGAGTTCGTATGCCTGAATTCCCTGGGATTTGTATGAGGCTTTAACCTTTTGGGGCAAAAGCTTCTGTAGCAATGAAGAGCGTAATGGTAACAATAATGAAATAAAGCTAAAGCAGTCAGTAATGTGCACAGAATTGTTGCTTCTTGACTAAGTGGGTGCCGATTTGGGGGACTTGCAGCATACTGCTGGCCGCTGCTGGAGAGAAAGTGAGGCCAGAGTGAGATTCTGAATTACTTAATGTTTCCAGTCCTCCAATGTATATTGTTCCCTATGAATTTGCTTCTTTATAACAATTCAACAGATATTCTACACCTGTTGTTTTTAATATCCCAGAGCCTTACCCCCTAAACAGTCATGTCGCTGGACTAATGCATGATTTCACAAGCTTTTAGCTTATTAAATCATTAAGTTAAATTATTCTTGTGAGAATGCTTGACTAGTGTTGGTTTTTTTTTCATATCATTAAAATGGTATATAATGCACAGGCCATCCTTAAGGCACCCACAAATCAGAATTGAGGAGCTGCATCAGAATTGAGACCACAAACCAGGACTGGACAAGCACAGTCAACTGTCACCAGTACTAGATTGCTTAGCAGAGCAGTGAAAGAGGGCAGTACGGGAGCTGGAGGGAAGGTAGTAACACAACTATAATTTGGAAAAAAAACATGGTAGCAAAAGAGTAATTACATCAGATCATGGACATTCACTCAGTTTAGTCACCTCAGAAGAGAAAGACCAGATCTAACCTAACTTCTATATAACTGAGCCACAGTAGGTTTACTGGAATACATATCAGCGGGTAACAAAGGAGGGAAGACACAACCTAGGTAACTGTTGAGCTCCTGTCACTTGGCATGTCCGAGTTTCTCAGTCTTGCAGGCATTTTAGCTTCTGTTAGGGACGATGCTACCATTGCCTTTCATACAGAAGGTGAGTCATGCAGATACAGAGCACCTTAAATGGCTACTACAAGTGGTGTCTGTGGCTGAGCTAGAAACTTCAGCCAGACCTCTCAAATCCTGCACGGTATCCTGTACAGTTCAGCATCATCCTTCAGCACAATACTTTTCGGGTGGCCAGGTCATCTGGCGTGCACTGGAAGAGTCAGTATCTCAGTTTGCAGAGTGCTTCTGAGTTTTTATTTGTATACAATGACTCCAACAAAGATTTCAGAACTCTTAATTGCGGATGCTGAGCAATGCAACCACCATGCTAACATCCTTGAAAAGAATAATGTCAGTGTTGTGAAGAACCCAAGATAGGTATGTACCTACTTATGTGTCCCACTAGCAAATGCACTTAGAGCATTTACCTCCCTGAGGTCAGCTAGAGTACAGTGGAATCTGCTAAGGTGTTTTACAAGGCATCACCAAAATTCTGCTAAAATCTAGGAGACTGGGTGGAGAAAATGCTCTGATTAAATGCTCTGATAAATCCTCTGAACAAGTTGGATTGATTCGATCATTCAACAGCTGCCCAGAGAGCATAGGTTTCTGGCATAGCCATTCTGAATTCTTGCCAGCACACATTAGCTAGATATCTACAGCATTTTGGCTAACAGTTCTGAAAGGGATCCTCCGGCCAGCCAGAATCTGTAGAAAACTCATTTCCATGCTGCCAATCACAGAGCAACTTCAACTGCTTTAAAGAGAAAACTCAGATTTAATCAAAAATCTATTTATCTTTCTACAGATTCATGAATATTTCTTTGGCTCTTATCACTAATTATTCAATATACGTGTGTCAAGAGCAACATTCCCTGCCTCTTCCCCTAGGCCATCTTCTCATCGTTTAGCTACATCTCTGTGCAGCAAAAGCTACAATCTGCCCTTGGTAACAAATAAGTATATCGCTCAGCAAGATCAAGAAGCAGTTGCTGCCTGCGGGTCCTGCTGCAAAAAAAAGTACCTATGTTGGCAGTGTTTATTTCAAGGGTGATGTTGATTTTCCCAGGCTAGTCTGCCTGGGGCAGGAAGGGCTCTCTGAGTGGTCATTCACAGCTATGACTCTAGGACACAGTGATCTTAAGGATCTTGAGGGACTTTAGCAAAGCATTTATGTGGGATTTCAACCAGAGGAAATAAGCCAGAGCGCAATGGTAAAATCCAGGACAGCCCTGGTCAGGCATTCAGAAAGAAATGCAAATATCCTTGATGTATCTATCCTCAATTTTATCTGAGAAACTAGAAAAGTAGCTCTTGATCTATGCACATCAAGATACAGCACAGATACAGCAGCTCTGAGACAACCAGGGCCGTATCTTCAGTGCAGACGTGATGTGTCTGTGACCTACAGGTTTCATTACGCAGGTAAGAGAGACCAGCACTGTGCACACACAAATCGACTGACCGCGTACGGTTTATCTTGGAATATACAGTAACTGCTTTTCCAGAGGAGCAGTTGGTTGATCAAGAAGCACAGGGAAAGCCTTTTTGAGTGATCCTACTCCACAGTGTGACAAATCATGTGTCACACTGCCTGATGGGTCCCCAGGTCCCATCGAAGATGAGTGTCCATGCCTGGGTCCTTTGGTCCCATGCCTTAAGATGGTACTATCTGGGGAAGAAAAAAAGCTTCTTTGAGTGCTGTTCTTCAGGCCTCACAGCTGGAGGCAGAGTTTCTGCAGAGGAGGAGGAACAAGAAATCTCCTTCCCTCTGTTTTTCTTATGCATGAAGTTACCTTGAAACAGGAGGTTGCACATGTGCACTGAAGTCCTCCCACGTCTAGCTGTTTTTGCTGTTGCTCGGATGCTTCCCCCCGTTAATCACCGTCTCCAAGCTGGCTTTCAGTGACAGAAACTACCCACTAGCACAAAAGGCTGCCTGTGCTTTCCCCCCATGCTGGGTAGCAAGGAGCTGAGATGAAGGGGAACGCCAGAGAAGTAGCAAAATAAATAAAGGGAATTCTTCAGGAGCAGGACATACATCAGAGCATCCTGAGTGGAGAAAGTGACAGCTACAGATCACATCAGAAAGCAAGACAGGGAGAGACTGAAGAAATGGTTCCAGTAGCAGTGGGTAGTTAAGACTGCAGTGAAGGCAGTAGCTGTAGGTAAGGCTGTAATTAAGGCAGGAGCAGTACGTCAGGCTGAGTGCTATTCTGCCATTAAAGCTTCAATTCAGTCATTTAGCTTTATATGAGAAAACTCGGCATCTAGCCCTCAGCCATCCTACAGCTGTTTACTCCTTGAGCACAATTACATTTTTGGGGAATCTGCAAATCAGTTCATTAACTAATATGTCAGTTCAAGTTATTAAGACTTGGAACCTTTAAGAGATCTTAATCTAAAAAGTGAAACAGACCCCTGTTTTAAAAGGGATAAAGATTGCAAAAATTCAGTATTGAAAATGGTCAGAATTGCTAAAATAAAGCTTGAAGAGGTTATACTGTACTCTGTGGGTAAGTAAGTCGGGGCGGGGGGGGCAGTAGATGTGCTGCTGTCCCTAATGCC